TGGTGGCATGGCAGTTAAGCACCAAAAGGGTGCTACGGCTGAACAAATTTCCTCACTCAACTGTGATTCTGTAATCTGTAATAAATTTACCACTAGATGATTCGAAGAACTGCGTTAACATGCGATAAAACGAAAACCAAACTCGACTGGCGATAAAACGCCGGTAATCCACTCGTCATGACTGGGAGAGGTTGCTGAAAAATGCCTTGGCTCATAAGGGAAATTCTGGTTGAATATGGTCACGAATATGACCAGTTCTATTCGGTGCATTTGGAAGTAACAAAGGTAGCCACATTTTTGTGGCTACATGGGTCCCAGAACAGCATACGTTATGTACGCACCAGCCGAAACAGTTTACATACTCAAGCACTTGCGGGACCGAGGTATCTGACAGCGGACAGACAATAAAAATGGCAGCAGTTCCGTGTTTTTGCGACCCATGCGGAACGATTCTGTCTGCATATTTCACCAGCTGTTTGAACGTCAGGGTTTTGAAGACCTTCCAGCGTACGCTGGACACGAAGCTGAATGGGTATCCTTGTTGGACGGAAGCATTTGAACGGATGCCCGTATGTGCTCATAGGACCGGGAATGTGAGAATAAAAAGGAACATGCATATTACTGGCAACCTTCCAGGACATTCCTTGATGAGCAAGTGTTGTAAAGAAAACAGGTCAGTCATTCGAGCGACTTGGAAAGACAGAACTGCCAAAATTGCTCTCGTGAGTATGTCGTTGTTCTAGCCCCTGACAGAGTGGGAAGATCTGGACATCGCAACCCCCATTAAGCAATTTTCGAGTTAGCAACTCAACGGATCACCACAACAAAAGACAAGTGATATCAAGAGGCCGGGTGATTCCACTATGATTACCGCGTTCAATACGGCCCTAGTATTCTGAGACATCTTCCTTCCAACACAGAGGCAACGATATTGGATGAGCGCTGACTGGGGTCTTCGACACCATCCTTGAACAGCGCTCATCAGAGGTCACGCGCAATAGGAGCGCGGTAGCGCCTGGTAAAAGATATGTGTTCATAACCCTCTCAGGTTGTAGATGGCCCCAGGCTTACCGACTGTATAATGCTTCTCTCTTATAATAAGCACTTTCGAAGGACTCTTGAGTGTATCCCCGAATTATATCTTCCACCGGTGGAGAGGGTGCCATTAAAGTACCACAGTGCATATTTTCTTTGCTTCAAGTGTGCGAGTTCCACCGTACAGAACTGTTTAAAATGTCCCCCATAGGCATGCGATTCACACCGGCAAAGTGTGCAGTTCTGTTGCAAAACCGAGGGGCTCGAACCCTAGTCTCATGCTTGAGGATGAGTCGATTGGGGACCAGAGTCTNCGAAGGACTCTTGAGTGTATCCCCGAATTGCATCTTCCATCGGTGGAGAGGGTACCATTAAGGTGCCACAGTGTATATTTTCTGTGCTTCCAGTGCACGAGTTCCACTGTGCATAACTGTTTAAAATGTCCCTCATAGGCATGCGATTCACACCTGCAAAGTGTACAGTGCTGTTGCAAAACCGATGGGACTCGAACCCTAGTCTCATGCTTGAGGATGAGTCGATTGGGGTAGTAGACAAACTTGTCTACTTGGGCACCTGTATCAGTCCCGGTGGTCTCGTGAAAGTTAATATTTCCATTCGGACTGGAAGGGCAAGATCATCTTTCATGAACCTTTATTACATGTGGCGTAGGCGTGACATCAGTTTATTCGTCAGGGGGTCGCGTTTACCATGTTGCAATGCGCTCCATATTACTGTACGGATCAGAAACCTGACCGCTGCACACCGAGGACGCCAGAATACTTTCAGTATTTGACCATCGATGCCTTTGGAGCATTGCCCGAGTCTGGTAAGAACACCGGATAAGCACTGCCGAATTAAGTCGAATGGTATTCGGAATAAATAATTCACCTTCGATAGATGAACTGATCACAACCCAGACGTTGCGATGGCTAGGCCGCACGCTTCGTTCGAATGACTTCCTGGAAGTTTTTACAGCTGATGGTGTTGACTTGTTGTTGCGTTGTTAGACAATCAACGAGTGTAAACAACGTGATACGTTCCGTTTTGGACCTCCGAACAGGAGCAACCCCATATCAGGAAGACAATGCATGAGTCGGTGAATCTTTCCATGGGACTGACTCTCAAAGAAATAGAAGTTCTAGGACTGAAATCAAACAAGAACACAGTGACCGACGTTGGTGCTCTCATCATCAGGTCGATACATATCTAATGGTTGAAATGAAGTAGGCAGCTAATATTGGTTATTGAATTGGGCTGGTTGGTAGTACACCCCACGCCCGGGACTAACTGGATACGGTGAGACGGTCTGAAGGGCGTTGGTCGGTCAATTTGTGTCACATGACCAAGGCAGTCTCAGTGCTCGTACGAATCGTTATTGACAGAGTAGTACTGGGTTTCGCAAACCTATTGTGGCTGCTTCGGCTGTAGTCATGCCGCGCCGTTGGACCGATGCTGGCCATCTATTGGGTACTCGTCAGATGGCGTGTTCGGATTAATCACATGACCAGTGTCAATTATGTGGGTCACGACTAAGCTATTGGCCGATACTCCAGGCATTTTACTCAGTCTCGAAGACGAAACAGCGGAATTCCGTTCTTCAAATCCGATGAGTTAAAGCGAGAAATTCATTTAAATAAACGAGCCTACCGTATATGTGATCTATTCATGACTAAACTCAAATCGACTTATTGGACAGATAAGCATTCGAAAAGTGCACGGCACAAATCGCTGGAACACTTGGCAGCTGGGAAAGTCCAACTCGGCTGAAGCCTTGCACGATGGCTCAAAACCTCTTGAGTTTCCACTACTTTGCGCTCCAGCCGCTGTCGTACGAAAAAAACAACTCCTTGTTAACTAACTAACTTGGTGTTTTTAACCAAATTCAGAAGGATGACGAAGCTCTGGACCTTAGCGACTGAGACAAGGAGGGCTGATGGCTAGTACACAGGTTCCTCATACGCGTGAATCACAGATATGCTCAAAGTCTAGATTTCAAAACAAATCGGAAATTCCATCGATTTCTCGAGAATGCAATCTTGGTGTTCCCGCGCACAAGCTTGCGATTCTGTTCCTATCATTTTAACTCCAGTGAAGAAGCATACTGTTGTGGACCAGAGTCTCCTTAATGCCTTCTTATTACCGTGAACCCCGGTCTGGATAGCCGATTGATAGTCTGGTGCACTTGATCAAACCGGACAAAGTCAACGAGCGTGTGAACTGGCTGATCTATTGATCACTGTCGCGTACGAGCAAGTAAAAAAAGTGATGCTAAGACTACAACTCACTTGTCAAGGGCGAGTGAAGAACAACCAATGAAATCTGTCTCAACGAAAACGGTTATCCCATTGGCTGTTATGTAGTCCCGTTACGTTCGGAGCTGGTTCTTCTAATACACAGCCGTCGGAATATCGTACAGGCACCATATCATGCGGGTACGAAGGAGCATTCGTGGCTCAAGCAAACTGGTGTAACGTGGTGAACAAGTACTGCGCTCATTGGTTGGTGAAGCTGTTCCATTACGAATTTACAGTTTTTGTACTTTTCACCTTACTTCCAATAAGAATTGCACGTCTATCACAAATGTTTATCTTACCAACAATGGAACTTCTATGATTATTTGGCCTCGGATAGGCGACCAGTTACTGTGTGTTTCATGTTTCAGCATGTTCATTTTCGACGAACATGTTGTAACAAACGACTATTCGTGCGCATGGTCTCTAAACTACTGTCGTAGCTGATTGCTAGATAAATCACGAAGAACCCGATGATATGAAAGAAGGACAGTGCTTCAAAATCGTGGATAACGTCAGCCGCTTGATGCCACAGAAGTACGGATCATAACATCCGACATTCCCATTGTGATAGGCTCTCCCAGGGGGAGTAAAACAGCCGTTTCGGAGACTATAAACGTCCGGGGCTGGGGGTGGGAATAATTCTTTGAAAAAAGATCCCGGATGGGATGATTTATTGTACCAACCAAGCCCCAGGGAAGTGCGAACCCAGAGGAGGCTGTAAATTTTGGGTAGCAATTATCACACGTCACATATTCGGGCCTCGACTGAAGTGCTTACAGCCGTACAGCCTAATTAAACTGTAAAAGCGAAGCACTCGCACACCCACTGCGACGTGTATTTCATTATTAAATATCTCCATCAGAATTGGTCAAGACACGATGTCTTCAATTTCATACTCACCAATATCGTCTTCAAAAGCAGTGAATTTACCGAATTAGTGCAATGCCCAAGTCTCCCGCTAAACTTAATAGTAAGCTGTCGTTTCCATCAACTACTAACGGGCATTTCTAGTAGCATCTCAGATAATTAGTTGAGGGTCAGCAAAAATTGAGGGGTGGATGAGCTTCGGTGAGCAGCTGAAGAGGAAGTGTGATGTGCAAAGGTAAAGGAGCACTGCTGCAGTTTGCATGCATGAGCTTGACTTATTGAACGAGTGCATACATGAATGAATGAATGAATGAGTGAATGGATGAATGAATGAATGAATGAATGAATGAATGAATGAATGAATGAATGAATGAATGAATGAATGAATGAATGAATGAATGAATGAATGAATGAATGAATGAATGAATGAATGAATGAATGAATGAATGAATGAATGAATGAATGAATGAATGAATGAATGAATGAATGAATGAATGAATGGCTGGATGACTGACTAAATTACAGACCCAAAAAATGATGACATTGCTTAGTGAATTAATCCGGTTATACCGATAATTCTGCATGAAAAAATTTACATTGACAAATCGACTAGGTTCATTCAACGTGGAATTGCTGGTGCACAATATAATCGGAGTTAATTATGTTTTTTAGTGAAATCACGCATTTCGCTTCCAATTCTAGTTCGGTAGATGCGTTGGGCCCCATCAGGGATTAATAAGATACTAGAAACCACGTGACATCCTGCGATCGGACACGTATTGACCTTAGATTCAAGGCCGTTTGTTTGAACACCAGAGCAGGATAAGCAGAAAGTAAGGCACCTAGAAGTATTCAAAGTAGTGAAAATAAAACTTGAAAATTAGAATGCCAAGCAAGAACGCTTCGTTGAATTTGTTGAAAAAATGTGAATACGTAGCTCCTGGACAAATTGGCGTTTGTCGAAAGAGCATGCTCTCACGAGAGACATTGCAACGTCCGAAAATTGGTGAGGCTCTGACACGAGGTAGACCAAAACAACCCAAAGACTTTGTCTACGGACTGAATCCGCCATTTAGATACAATGAAATTGTTGATTGCTTTAACTGGCCTATCAGAAAAACGGGTGACCATATTGATCCAGACTGTCTCCCCCGAGACTTCCATCGAATTAATGTTGAATCAACAAAAGAGGGAATTCATCCGGTCCCCGATTGGCTTAGATTTGCCAATGAGAAGAACTATCGACTAAATCCGACCAAGAGGGTTCTAGGACGTTTGAGAAAACCGAAATTTCCTGAAGAAATGACATTTGGACGCCCGGCTCGACCTCAAACTCCGATGCAGTGTATCATGTCACATCGGTATAAGACTATGTGGGATGAACATGCACAGGAGTAAGTCCGCCTTTTGTATGCCATCCAAGTAGTTTATTAAGAACTTAGGGATGGTTGGTTTTCTAAACGACGGAAGAATAGTCCAACCACTGATTAAGAACCCCCCTGAGTGCACTCGGGTAGAACGTTTGGCTGTTTGTGATCACACGCATCAGTCACTGTGTCCTTCATCAATTGCTAAGTTACCATATGGTTACGAACACCAAGTCGGAATGAATTGGTTTCATGTATGTTCTGTAATGAATATCTGGGAATCAAGTGACTACCGTCGCTGATTATGAATACCGTACCAGCCCACCAAAACAAAGTTTTGTCCTTCGAGAAACTTTCAGATTGGATTGAATTCGGTCAGTGAAGGACCTCTATCATTATCTTTCACTCTTACTAGCCCTTGAATATCATGTGACCGGATCTGCGCGATGCACCCCGAACATCCACATTATGTAGCCACGCATTCCAACTTACACACTTGCCCATACAAGTGTCTAGGCTGTTGCACACTGTGAATGGAAAGTTTTCGGCCTCATTTAGGCGGTTTTTCTCATAAAGAGAACCCAACATGGAGTCAAAATTTCTGAATCGGAACTTGGTAGTCCTGTAGTTCATGCTGAAAGTGTCTCGCTTCGTATATCCGGAAAGCTAATATAGTTCACGCCATTTGCGATATGAGTAAGTTTGCACTCACTTGGTCTGTGTGACGGAGTTAGTTTAGGTCACTGAAACTACCCGTACAAAAGTGAAGTTAGCTGAAGATCGTCTGGATCAAGTGGCCACAATTATGATTATGTACAATTAAGTGAGTCATCGAGCTTCGTCGTTCCGGTCTGTCAAGGTCGAACGACACGTGACTCAGCAGCGTGCGAATGACGAATGGGCTGCATTCCACTCTCAACACAGTTGAATCCATGGTGGCCTCGCGATCAATTCTCCAAAACGGGCTGAGAAGTAAACTGATGAAAGTTCACCATTGGAAGTGTTTTTTAACGGTAGTTGTGACTGGGACTTTGGTAGTCATCAGGGAATGGTTTGAGTGAATTAACTGACGCAATGGTTGCTGGTTAAATATGGCCCACAGTTTTCCACTGTGTATGAGATGAACAGGCTTTAAACTTGAAGGAATCCAGTGAAAACGGTTTTTTTGCCGCTTGTTCCATGTACTCTGTTAAACAGTACGTTACCTGGTATCGTGCCAAGCGTTTATTGCGTTATTACGAAGCTACCGATGTCGCTGATCTACCAACTCGTGAAATTGCAGTTTTAAGGTTCTATTTGAAATACGTCTTAAGCAACAAATTCGTGTGATACCATCGTCGACTGCCACGTCAGTTATCCCTGCTTGAACCAGATCCAGACTGGCTGTCAAACCACGTCCTGATAATCTGCACATGTATTTATAAGAACTAAAAGTGTGCGAAAATTTTGTTCTAAACCGGGGACCCTCGACAGACGACCAAGTTGTTTTACGTAGATCCCCACTGACGGAATTGAGGCAGTTTAGCGGTTTTTCAGTTTAGCCAACCGCAAAGATCGATGAGTGTGAACAACCTTTATTTTCTTCACCTTGAACACAGAGAAAACAAAAAACGCATGGCCAATTTGGCTCGTTCACAGAACGATATCCCACATCCGCTGGATTCGATTGGCTCCGTGCTCAATATGGTTCCGATTGGTACCAGGGAAAGTCGCACCCAGAGAGATCAATCTCCATCCAAATTATGGCAAATGAAGCGATTCCAGAAACAATCAACCAGATTAGATACTCGATGGTCGAAAGAAGAGGCGAAGCGTTTACTTCGGGGAGTCTGAGCTACTCAGACTGATCGGATTCTGCATTTTGCTAATCCTGATCCTGCTGGCGTGGACAGTAGAACTGCACATCAGTCTACAAGCAGTAATGAAATTGAATTGAGAAATTTGATCAAAGTAGATTACAGGAACAAAAAAAGATTCTTTTGAAAAGAAACCTTCCTCCTTGGTTATGCAAGCTGGAAAACACAACTTTGCTTATTCTCTGGCTGTGAATTTCCGACATAGTTGATTGTTCCAGATGAAATAGGGATGAATCTATTAGTGCACAGGTGGTGATAGCCATAATACAACTCAGAAGGTGTATGTGCACTAATAACAGTCTTTACTGTGGTTGATAGTAGATTACAGAAGCGATTTGCAGCATGTATAAAATAAAGGCAGTATAAAATGTGGAGCAAGTCAAAAAGGAACTCATTGTATGTGAGAGTCCTTTGGTAAAAGTCCGCTCGACGGGATCGTGTTTTCTCCGCAGTATAGCTGCTACACGTATTCCATAATTGTCCGTGGACTTGGAGTGTTTGGCTGACTCCTTGCTCCCCGCGCGCGCACAAGCTTTCGCATGTTGACTGTGTTGTCTCTTCCTATATACACAGGAAAGTTTGACGTGTGTATGAAACAGGAATTGTTCCGATGCGAACAAGACAGGAACTGACTTGCTGTCGGTCAAGGCTGCGGGCGGCACGGCGTTTGTCACGTGATTTTCGGTGCTTGTGTAGTAGGCAAGTCGCGTGATCTAGTAAACTCGCATGTACTAGACAAATTAGGTGGAGTTGGTTGAGGGAACATGTCCATTGCAAATCCGATTCCGGGTTTTCTGCTCGGTATTTTCAGTCAAAGGCCGTCGACTACCACGAAAAAGTACTTTCGCCAAAGGCGAATAAGTTGCTTACCATCTTATGTCAACCTAACGCGGAAGTGTTAATTTTGGTAGCGAGATTCCACGGAGTTCACAGTAAAGATTGCCAGATTTCCGTGTGGTTTTTGAACTGAACTGCTACCACCCACACACACTGCTACCATCACACAATTCGAATTTTTATCATTCTGAAAATGATCGATTTAAGGTCCTCCAAACAAGGCGATGAAAATCACGATGAACAAGAAAGCACAGTCGGAAAACGTCGGGACGCTGACCAACATATCAGTGACTGATTGAGTGCTCAGAACCCGGCTAAATTAGCTGAAAAACTTAAATTCCGAATCCATAATCCGATAATTACTACTTATATCTGAAATGACCCTTGGCCACGCCGTTAACCCCCCGGATTCAGCTATTGAGAACTGTTTTGTGGTCCGTTATCGCAGACTGAATCTTATGTATGCTGGGAAAGATTAAACTATCATAAAAAAATCTAGGTACCAGCTGGTATGCAGGAGGAAGCAGAGAACAAGTTAGTGGAGTAAAGGTGGATGACGAGAGAATGCAAAGTGAACTAGATGGTGTAGCTTCATCGCCGGACATCAGAGCATCATGTCCGCATCGTCGGCTATCAGCGGCGTCAGTGAACAGAGGGTCCTCTGGATTGATTAATCCACCTCAGTGCACAGGGACGAACAAACTGGCACCTGACTAGGGAGCGAAAATACTTGTGTCGTTTGCTGAATCATGTAGGCTCTCAGTTTTGTTTACTCCAGAAGGTGAGTGCATCTCACGTCCAACCATAGCTGCTTTCAGTTTGCTTCATCCCAGTTTCAAACATTCGCACATGACGGAAAATGGCACATTCGACAAATACTCTTGCTCGTAAACAAATCTGATTTTGCCGGGAAATTCAACCCAAGACAGAAACTAGTTATCGGTTCTCATCTACTTTCGGGTGATTTGGGTGCTATCGCCGGGTTTTGAAATTCTGCAATCGATCGATATCTGTCAGAGTACTAACCTAACACACAAAGGAAAAAAATAAGATCATTAGGTGACTGGATCAGGCTTCGTGGATGCAATTGCCGAAATCTGTTTAGAATAAGAGTTACTCAGTAGGGGAGCACGTCCTTCCAGGAAGGGACAAACCCGTTTTAGGAAAAGTATGGTAACAATCGGTAGACTGACTGCAGCGTAACGCTTCGTTTTCGAGACAAGCTTTGTTAGTCCGGGTGACTAGGTCACGAGGTCGGTCAACATTAAGGCGGAAGGAGAACCAGTCAGCCGAATCGGGCTAAAGTTATGTTCGGTGTCTTTCGAGGGGTTTTTTGTGCTAGATCGGGTCACCAAGTGTGAAGCCAATGGGGGAAACTACAGCGATTTGGGTCCAGCCTAGGATCTAGTTCTTTCGGTTGGGTTCCCTGTTGAAGGTCGTTTGCACTTTCGGTTTGTCCGTGTGCTACGAGTGAGGGGCAAACTCCTTTTTGCCGTAGTGGTTTCATTTGAGAAAGGGAACCAGGGCATTGACATAGGCCTTGGTAGACTTCTCACTATCTAAAGCTACCAATCGAAAGGCACGAGACAGTTTGTGACTTGCTGTTTAGCTGTCTCATGGATAGGTTTCGGAAGCGCGGATAGTCACCGAAGAACGTTGATGCCACAACAAAAACCAATTTTTTCAAGTATTCTTCTATTCGCGTGTGTTGTGTGTAACGAACGTTGCTATGCTCCATACATGCTTTCCTCTCACTTTATATATGACCAGCATTTTGCGTTTCAACAGCTTCAACGTCAGTTTGTGTCCCTTTGTGGTCATGTCTGTCACAATGTCATTGTAATATCTCCCACACGTTTCGTATCCACACTGAACCTAAGAAACATATCTCCATTAATTCAGATTCCAACCCGTCATTAACGTCCTACGAATACTCGTTTTTCCACAAGGAATAACCCTTCGATTGATCTCTAAAGTAAACTTGGCCAGTTGACACTCGTGCTTGTGAGCTCTACTCAACTTTTTCTTGGAACACAGTTCCTCCTGGTCGCTTTGTCAATTATAGGAAGTGCCATTAAAAAACTTCGTTCTACTGTAGGAGAATGGAGAACCGTCACATCAGTGCATGGCAGTTAACCGCTGGCCTACTGCTCAGTACTGGCCAACTTCGCCTCTGAATTTCTCTGCGCTTTAAGTTTAGGCCGAAACAACATTTTGATGAAGACTTGTGCATCGATTTTGACGAAATCAAATACGTACTGAAACATGGACACATTCTTCATTCCGCTTGAGCTAAGGATCGATTACAAGGCCAATTTCGATCTGAGACCACAGTGATCGATGTTCGTTTGGTGATCACTCTTCACACTTCGTTGTCGCGAAAAATTTAGAAGCTTGCTCGCTCGTTCCGGACCCGAAATTTTCGGGCTTTGTTGGCATTGTCAGCGGACGGGATGAGTGAGTGAACAGATGGCCTGAGTTATAACAAGTCTAGTCAAATACAGCGCGGAGTATGTCAGGATTATCCAGATCAACATGGATCCATTGTCACCTTTTGTGCTGGCGAAAATTTCGGCCATTCTCATTGCGGATTTAAGGTGCTTGAATGATTTTGAGTTAACCGAAGAAGAACGAGGGTAAAGAAATCCCAATATCCCAGACACAACTCAAGATATGGCTGATATACTCGAGTTTGAAGTGTTACAAAATGCTCTGAGTAGCGGTTAGCCCCGGTTAGCTAACTTATCCGACAAATATCCTCTCTCCTGGGACCGGAAGTCGGATTGGTCAAGTGACCTCTTGGTGAGTGGCCATTGGTTTTTGACCTCTGTGTTTGCCAAACAACCTTGGTGGTTGTGACACAACCACCGACCACTCGCTACGCTCCCTAACAACGCACTGATTATGCTACCCCGATTGGTGATGAGACGTTTGCCATCAAATCGATCGCTCAGCGAACAAACTAACTACCATCTATGCTACCTGAGCTACCAACATTCCCTTCTATAGCAAACCTTCGGGATGATGGTGTGCTGGAACTTGGTGGGATCAATTATGTAACCAAATTTCGTCTTTGGCGGAACACACAGACTTCAGGTGAGTAGTTAGGTGATTAGAGCAATGCACTCATTTGCAAACAAATTTGGTTCTGCGAGAGCCTCACCAGTAACCCAGCTGGACCTCCCGTTTGTGATGTCTCCAGGCAACTGAATGTGCTGCGCCATGCCGCCTCGTGTTCAGTTGCTACGATATTCGAGATATCGCGGTACATGTATATTCGTAATGCACTAATAATAAGGCTGTCGAGGAATTTTCAGCAACTTTGTGAGTAGTGCATTACGAGTAGTTATGTAGCTACATGTCTATCTCTTTACCTAGGCCGAACTTTGCATTAGACCGGATGTCGGAACAATCAGTTCTGACGATCAAACAGAACTTGGACTACCCGAAAAGTCGAGTAAACTTGTGTTCTGGATTTGAGGAATAATACCGCTCTGGGGTCAACTTCATCGGATAATTCGACTGGGGAGATGAAGTTACCTAAATTCGATCGAATCATTGACCACCACATGCTGCTATTGCAGTCATGTTTTCTGCATGAGCTGAGGATCGAGTACAGGGTCATATCCGATCTGAGACCACGGTAGTCGATGTTCGTTTGGTGATCACTGTTGTGTCGTCCGGAGGTAACCCGTCAACTCGCGTAAGGAAGAAGCCAAAGTCGAGCACAGGAACAGGTCTTTTTTGCTGCGAAGTAAGGCGGTTTATATACATTGGAAAAAATGGCATGAATTGGCTGAGACTTTCTCTTCAACCGAATAACCAATAGGAACCAACAGTTATGCACGATCGAGCAGAAAATAACGAAATGCACCGACCAATAGGAGTCACACGTGAGAGCGGAACGAGGATAAATCAATAGGGACTCAGCACGATGCAATCTGGTCGCTGAACGTGTGGTGACGACAAATATAAGCAGAATGTGAGAATTGACCAGAAACGATCAGTCCGTAGTTAAGACGAAATTTTAGACAATTAACAGTTCCGTTCTGGTAACAGTCACTCTTCACAGGTCGTTGTTGCGAGAAATTTAGAAGCTTGCTCGCTTCGGTCACTACAACAGGGTAACCGAGCGAAATTTACCGGCAGTTTACTACCAGTTCCCAGTTTGGGACTCGAGTTCAGCTTACACGCAGCTTCCTCAAACACATCATAAAATGCGCCACACCTTGATCGCCCTCAAAATTTAGCAATCTTAGGTAAAAATGAAAAAGTGTCCCTAGCTTCGTGTTTGTGGCAGCTAGACTGTCGTCAGGGTACACGAGTTCCGAGCAAATTCCATTGATATTCTGTTCCTGGGGCTGTTTTGCAGCGCCGTCTTAAATGTTTCCAGCTCCCCTTTTATTCGGGCTTGTATTCTGTCGAACAGAATGACAATTAGCATACCGCCTTTTGACATCCGTATTGCACTTTCAAAGTGCAAAGTCATGCATCAGAACGCACAGTCTCTGAACGTACGTCTTACAAACCAAGGAGAAACACTTGAGATTGTAGAGAATTTTACATACCCTGGCAATTGCTTTAGCTCTATCGGATATGTGTCAGACGGAGATTCTGAAACACCCGAATCACATTCGCTAATTTATTCTACCTCTGGCGTCAAAACGGAATATCACTGGGTCTCAAGCGTCACCGGACTAAAGTTAGTGCTGCGTTGTTCTATATTTGCCAGGCGTGACCTCTGCAGACAGTCTATGTGAGGCGTGCCGACACACCGTTTACCGAGAGGAGTGCTGTTTCCATTGCCTCCTTCAGAATGACCGAAACCGCAAGGTCATCATCATCATCATCATCATCACCATCATCATCATCACTATCATCATCATTATCATCACCATCATCATCATCATCATCATCATCATCATCATCATCATCATCACTGTCAGCTGTAATAACTGCGTACTCATCATACACTGGTATTAGCTGCCGCAGTTTCGTTCACCGATGAATGGGGGTGGTAGGTAGCTGCGCATTGCGGGCGGGAGATGATAACTTGGTGCATAAATCCAGCACTGTCAGTGGGCTGTCAAGTGGGGGGGGAGCTATGCATTGAGAGCAATAGCTTTGATGCACGAGCGCCATTGAAGACGCCACTGGGCCATGTCTGACAATGTTTCTAGCAATTGATATAGCCCCTCTCGGGGTCTCCATCCAGGAAGACGGCAATGACCAGCGCAGCCGAGTTTGCTGGTAATGACTTTTATGCTTCGCTGTCAAGTTATTGTTTGACCGCCTCTGGCTCTCTTCCACCCTTTACGTGGTTGTGCGGAAAGAGCCTTTCGAGGAAGTCTGTCGACTGGCATACGCAGCACGTGGCAAAACCAGCGCAACCTATGCAGTGTGATCAGTTCATCTATCGAGGGTGAGGTATTTCTCCCGGATACTATTCGACTTACTTCAGCATTGCTGAATCGGCGTTCCCCACCAGATTTGGGCAATGCTCCGAAGACATCGATGATCAAACACTGAAAGTCTTTTGACGTCCTCAGCGCGCAGCGGCAGAAGGGTGTGAAACAGATTACCAAGAGTTTGGATATTGCTAGTGCAGTACCACTTCCAGTTCTGAAACCCCGTGATGCCTCCTGCAATTAACCAGAAAACATCGCAGGGAATGGCGGCTGATCGATGTTAATAGCGTTCGTGCTGTCAGTTTGCAAACTGTTTGGAGGTATAGGTACCTTGTGATAGGCCAGTACATCAGTAGTCCTGAGAACTGCTTGTCCATAATCGCTCTTTTCGTGGGTAAACTGGCTATTGGACTGATCATGGCGGATACTCATCAGAAGTGATAGGGCATCATTATGTCACACTAATCATTCCAGTTTCCACAGTCACTGATATTACTACAAGAGAGGATCAGTAGTACGAAATTCAGATATGTACTAGGCATGGAAAGGTCGTAATTGTCTGATTTTGAGACCTCTGCCACATTTCGATTAAGCATGAAAAACTGTCACCAAGACGATACGTTCGATTCGGATCTAACCTGGACAAAATGCAAGGCGTTTTGTACGTTGAGGCTATAGCAGGATGAGTTGTCCTACTCGTCTGTGCTTAGAACCAGTGAAGGGGAGGTAACGACTCTCATAAACTCGACGTGGACTGGTCCAGTAGTCACATAACAAAGGGGGTCGGGATACAGGCTTAAAAGCTTTACAACAGACTTTCAGAACAAAATTAGAATGAAAAATGGAGACAGTTGGAATCTTAAGTGAATGGAAAAGCTGGTGATTCGTGAAATTGCTTTGTCAAGAGGAAGGGGCGAACCTTCGGGGCGAAGATTTCCATGAATTACACTCATTTTGCACCGTCCTCACACACTCCATTGTCCGAAAAACCCAGCTTCATTCCGCAGAGTGAAATCATCCTATACTGGGAAGTCGAGGATCGCTATCGTCTCAACATTTTGGCACATTATCAAGACCTTACTACTCATTTTCCGGTAAGTAGTCAAACTTTATAGAACTCCGATGCGGGCGTCCAGTCGTTTCGGTGAAATCACAACGAATGGATTTAAATTTACGTAGACACAAAACATACAGTCTATCATTGAAAAACCTTACATTTAGCGTGGAGATAAGTGGATCAAACCGAGCTCTACTTGGTATATTACCGGGGAAATGCGGTGGAAGCAATTCCAGATTGTCTGCGTGTCTCATCAAGTTCTAAACTTAGAGCCATGAAATTGAGTTTCGTTTGGAATTCGCTCCACATATAATAGTTTCAGGCAGAGCCACAAATTCATGCCAGTATTTTGTCAGTCGATACGAAATGCATTTTAATGACTCAGTCAGGAGAGAAGTCGAAATCTCAGTGCGTTTTTTATGAGACCTACTTCTCCTCAGGGTGCTTTGATCATCTGTTGGACAGAGAGCGCAAAGCCATCTATGCTGAAGCTGTCTTTGCTCCACTTAGATAAAATTCCCGGTTCATTATCTGATCTAACGTGAATTCATTAGACTGTTGCTGTAGAAAACACTCGTCTTTTCTCTCCTAATTGCCACAACTCAATATCACTTCCTTTTTTGGGGACGTATCCAAATGCAATCAAACATGCCAACGGGCGCTCCGCCTGACCGGTCCAGTCTCCTTGATACTATGTATTCCATAGATCTTATCCACCCGTGTGTGACACTCATATTCGTTCAAATTCTCCCAGCCTCGTCCTAATTGTTCTCACCACCGTTTCAGCGGGCTACCTAACTCACGAGTATGGTTTACGCGCCATTTGTGTTGATTGATTAGATATAGCCTTTTGAATGACTTGAGAGTGTGGTGGTGGAGGTTGAACAACTAAGCAGCTCGACAACAGCTAATGCCGAAGATAGACCGGCAGTTATACGTAGGTTGGTCAGCCTAATCATGAGCGCAAGACACCGAGAATCAGTACTGACTTTTTACCAAAGGGCTCCTCGGATCCAGAAGTTCCCATAGGATTCAACAGAATTCCGCGTTTCTGCCAGATGAATAATCCCACTAAAGTTCTCTACAACATGACAGCTGCCATGCTGTCTTAGTGGAAATGGTCGCCAAATCACTATTTTGAGTACTACTTGTAATGTCATTTAGTAATATGACATTGGGGCCGGGTGAGTTTAGCTAAGAAGTCACGGCTGACTTATCTGCGGCTGATGGTGGCTGGAGGTGAGGTTAATTTAGCAGGATGATTCACTGGCGCGTGACAAACGAGTCCAGTGCTGCTCAGAACGTGTGGGCTGTGCACATTTAGAAAGCCCTGATTAGGTTCACCGTCTTTTTTCAATGATACGTTCGATATTGAGATTCATGGTACATCGAAGCTCTTGTGGACATAACAGCTTGTCAGGCCGCTTGGTCAACGGCCAGACTTTCACCATAGATGAAATCAAGTGTGTGGTGTTTTAAGACTTACCTGAATGTTATCACGGTATCTGGTCGTCCCCGAAGTCGAAGTCTGTTCATCAAATGACCTAAAATAAGCAGCTGTGGGACCGGACTACCCTCCGATTGTCTTGTCTGGCACCACCAGCACAGCTGGTTCTATATCATATCCTAGCGGGTTCCGTTTATTCCACCTCGTTTGCGATCTCTAGCACCCTGTGTTTGCATTTGACAACTAAATTTCAAAATATATATTGTACAGGGGTTATACATGAAATCGGCCAAACGTTTTAGCGTGCCGTTTATGTTTATCGTTTGTCTCACTGCCTCAGGATATTGCAAACAGTAAGACAGAACGATAGACTGCACAGTCGATTTTGATTGTGCCAAACCCACCCCATAGACTGTCTCATAATAAACACAAAATTGAATTGGATAAGAAAACGTAGTCAGTTAATAAAATATAATATAATTTTTAAATATTAGTAGTCAAATAAAGGAGGTTTTGTATGCAAGTGTTAACACCTTTTTGTTAATGATGAATTGAATTGATAAGAAAACGTAGTCAGTTAATAAAATATAATATAATTTTTAAATATTAGTAGTCAAATAAAGGAGGTTTTGTATGCAAATGTTAACACCTTTTTGTTAATGATGAATGTCAGTACGCGCATTGAAATTATGAAACTATTATTCCCCGCACTTCGTGGTTACAAAATTAAAAATAGTCTCATCAAAGATCCTTTCACCGTGTCGAACATTACACGCTTGATTTGTATTGGGTCTTCCTGGCAAAGGGAGAGTACCTCTGAGTGAGGGAAGAGCGCTCATTGTACAGAATGCCATCGAGCAACTTCAGTCCTAGAGCACCATGGCCAATAACTCAGGTGTCTCAGTTGACCGACATTCCCCGCGCCAGCGTGCATTATATTATGAGACACCACCTTCATCTCTAACCGTATCATTTCACTTTATAACTAAACATCACGGAAGAAGACAAGGGGCAACGTGTCACTTTCGCTAACTGGCTGCTGGACAATGAAGAATTCATCCCCAACATTTTATGGAACGATGAAGCAAATTTTTCTGTGAATGGCATAATCAACAAGCACAATTGCGTGATATGGTCCCGTGAAGCTCCTCACGAGTACCTCACCCACAATCTCCATTTCCCTCATCTCTGTATGTGGATGAAATTCTCCTCAACGTGTTTCCTGCGTCCCTTTTCTTTGGGGCTACGGTTTCCGGTGACAGTTACCTCCATATGCTGCAGAGGCATGTTATCCCGCAACTCAAGCAGCGCAAGAAGTCATCGACAATCCTTCAACAAGATGGCGCTCCATCCCACTACTCAAACCAAGTAAGAACTCACCTCCGAGAGCAATTTTCTGATGAGAGAGTCATTGCTCGTGGATTTCCAAACTTTTGGCCCACAAGGTCACCCGATCTCACACCTCTGGATTATTGGTTTTGGGGAATGATCAATCCTCGCGTATATCATGAAAATCGAAGAATTTGGTGGAGTTAAGAGCGAGAATTGAAGAGGATTGTGCACGAGTGACGCACGAAGAAGTTAAACATGCTGTGTCTCACATCTCATACCGCCTCCCAATTGTTATAGGAGAAACGAGCGGTTTTTTCAACATTTTTCCAAAAGTTTATTTACAGTAAACCTCCACGATGTTTATATGTTTACATGAAAAAATGATAAGTGTTTAAATTTTAAAGTTTTCACAGGGGCGTTATTTTTTGCGTCTATTATGAGACGCGCTGTATATAGACAATCGGACGCACAGTTTGGCTTTAGTCTTCAGTCGACTGTCAAGTACGCGGTTGGGGTACTGTCGCGGTAGCGGGAATCCTCAGAGCACAGCGGACCGATATGTCGTCTCCTCGACTGGTGATGAAACGTTTGCAATCAAATCGATCGGCTCACCGAACAAACCAACGACCATTTATATTAAACGCATATACATGTATGATACATACATATATATTAACAGTATATCTCGGAACTTTTCGTCGTTGTGTGTTTTCTCAAAGCACATGTTCCCCAAATCAGCATTTTCAGACAGTTTGTACGTTTAAATTTGCCCAAATATCGCTTCTGTTTCTTCAGTTGCGTGACGACATACATATTTTGCGCATTCAGTAGTAGGGCGAGTGGAATTTGGCCGTTTCTGTAAGTGGGTCATATGTGAGAACAAACTGCGTGACTATCGGATTGACCAAAGACAAGACCCATAGTGTGGCTTGCAGAAGTATTTGTGTACATAACCGGTGACAGTGTGAAACCACTCTGACCGCGGCACCATGGCAAAGTTGGAATGATAAACGAGTAGGCATTTTTACTGAGTAAGTAAGAGTGGATGTTTTTTTGTTGTGAGAAAAACTGTTGTTCAATGCTGCCGCACAAAAGTCAGATCGATCGATACGTTCTCACGAGAACTCTTGATGGTATTCGCAAGCCACTCAAAGGGCATACCGTACTAAGTTGCGTGACGACATACATATTTTGCGCATTCAGTAGTAGGGCGAGTGGAATTTGGCCGTTTCTGTAAGTGGGTCATATGTGAGAACAAACTGCGTGACTATCGGATTGACCAAAGACAAGACCCATAGTGTGGCTTGCAGAAGTATTTGTGTACATAACCGGTGACAGTGTGAAACCACTCTGACCGCGGCACCATGGCAAAGTTGGAATGATAAACGAGTAGGCATTTTTACTGAGTAAGTAAGAGTGGATGTTTTTTTGTTGTGAGAAAAACTGTTGTTCAATGCTGCCGCACAAAAGTCAGATCGATCGATACGTTCTCACGAGAACTCTTGATGGTATTCGCAAGCCACTCAAAGGGAATACCGTACTAGATAATTTGATGTGACCTTGAGCTCAGAGCGCTATCCACCTGAATCGGTCACAATAACATAGAATTTTAACATTCTGGATTCATCTGTGAAGCGCATCTGTGTGGACAATCTCAGTTTTTTTTCCGAAACTTCACTGATGGAACAAAACGACAGACAGAAATGTGTGCGATAAATTTCACGACTGTCTGAAAGCAGGAGGCTTGTGATGACAAGAACTTGCTTGCAGTCGTGATTTACTATGGAAATCTGAAAAAATTCTTACACTTTGGCCTGATTACTCAACATTAACTTTTCTGGTACCTAGTTTAAACTTTGTTGTTCCTTCTTTGGAAGGCTTAACTCTACGTTAACTTTCGCCTCGAATAAATGAATCATGCAAGATTTGAGGGGGTCTATTAGACCCGGGCTTTACTCGGGAATTTGGACAACTCTCGAATATTTACTGTGGGCAATCGGAAAACTTTGGACTGAAAACTCTGGATAGTGCGCTAGATGCTCCGCGCAAGTCGACCCTCATGAGAGATGCTCGATTCTAGAAGATTCTTGAAGACTATTCCGCGCGTGACCAGAGGCAGGGAATCAATACTTCCATAAACCAGATAGCGTCCTTCGACTGTTCTAGGTTGGGGAAACTAATACGGTACTGTCCGGTAGGACAGTGGAGACGGGAAAACATGTCTGTTGTGATAGCGAAGGGGGCCTTTTCCCGCTCTTTGCGACTCGCAGTCTATTAGTTTACCGATATAACTTTACAGCTCAGTTCATATAAATCTGTAATACCTTCGCTAATCCCAGAAGATAGTATTTCTTCGTTTCCTTACTTGTCCAACGGTAGTTTGAAGTAGTCTCATTTTTGCACCAAAATTAATGACACGCCTGACTGATACTGTTTCCTCAATTATCGAAGTGTTGCCACCCGAGTCCATAAATCATCTTTTGACTTGCGAACCTATGGCATTTCTGTTTTAAACTTTGAAAAAACCGCTGCTACACACAGACTATTCAATCTACTTTGAGAGAAATGCAGTTTATCGAACAAGGGAAAGACTGGATCGTTTTAAGCATGTTTCTGGCGTATCCATTTCAGAGTTATCTTAAAATTTAGGCAAGATACACTCACCGCTCGGCGGGAAGTCGCTAGGCTAACCAGAGGTTAAGGATTTCATCCTGTCGGAGGTTCTGGAAACAAATTAACTCAGCTCATTCCGATACACCGCTTCAAGTTTTGGGCCTAGACACAACGGGCGACCAAAGTCCACTACCGTCGCCATATTTAAGGATTCAAAACAAGTTCGCAGCAACATTACTTGCACGGGTCAACGAGAAAACCAAACTTTAGTAAAGTGTCTGACCACGAGTTTACTGGAGGTTTTTTATTCCAGCTACTGCAAAAAGTAAGTGGAAGATTGGGATTTCAGAGGACGGCCAGACTAAGAATATTTAGCCTGCAAACAGAGAGCCTGTCGAGATAAAGCTTAGATTAGAAGGCTATCTGCCTCAATGCACTTCCATGAATCCTTTATCAAGGAACCAACTTCAAACTGAGTAATTCAGAGTACACTGAGTGAGCACAGGCATACACTCGTCAAAGTGTAGTTGTTGAAAGAATCACATATACAAACATCGAATTCGTTCAGTCCTATTTTGCAGCTCGCAGTCAAGAGCGCTCTAGTATATGTATACTATATGTGCGTTTTCTACCGATAGAATCTTTCTAGAAAAGAGACTCTAGCACAAAACCTGGTTGAAAATTTACCATGTACGTTTTGGTGAAGGGTTCCAAATACAGACTTTGCTGAATGCCAAAAACGAGTTTCTATATTCATATTATATCGATTACTCGAGGAAATTATGTGATTGTGGGTTGGACCGTGGATTACTCCACACCGTGGAAGATTTGAGGGCACGGTGTGAAATTCTCCATATTCATATTATATCGATTACTTGAGCAAATTATTTGATTGTGGGTTGGACCGTGGATTACTCCACACCGTGGAAGATTTGAGGGCACGGTGTGAAATTCCACCTGGTGTTTTCGTGGACCTACACCTTCCACTGTGTGTTTTCCTGAACATTTCGCAACTAAGTGTCCGTCAGAAACGGGGAAATACTGAAGAATTCAATGTTGAATCTCATCCTCAACTCTTGTAAAACAAAGTTCAATCAAGCCCGCAAACAGAGATGTGTTTCTTTTCAAACTTTAAACGGGGGTGAAATCGTCGTCCAACCATATTCCCTATTAAGGGGGAAGATAACACTGGGTGAACCACAATTCACCCTGTTGTCATGAGTTTCGTGCCTATTCTTTCAGTATTCATTATGAAGTCTTCTTACTGATGGGATATATCCTGCAAAAGTAACTGGTGAAGAACACCCTCCCGATAGACTGGTCTACGACCACTCCTCTACAGTAACGCGCGTATGGTTTGTGAAACACAGGGAACAAGTGCTCACACAAATCGTTACTCGATGGGGGGTTATAGAACAAACCCATGGTGAGACTGTCATCCAGTATGCTTCGAATATGAGACCAGAAACTGTGAAAAGCGGTGTCCGTTCGGTTGATAGATCATGAGAGGACACCAGTAAGCTGGGAATCAAAAACCTTCACGATTCAAAAGAACGGATGGTTTTGGACAGTTCGTTTCTGGTTCTAACCTATTCTCCAGTGTTATGCAGTATCGCTGTTACCAGGCGATTTGCTCCTAAGACTAGCTAGCTGACATTTGTTATCAGAGAGATATTGGGCATAGAACTTCGTGTCAAACGTTTCGCAAACAAACTAAAGGGTATTAAGTTGAAAGTCGGCATTCTTTTTCAAAAGCTTTCGAGACGCTTTCTAAAGAGGGAAGTGAACGAAGTTTTCACTTGGAATGAGAATGAATGTATCTGATCAGGCGACTTGTTCGATGCAAAAGCTCTGTTACTCACAATGTGAGTGTCATGCACGATCAATATCCTGAATAAAAACTTACTAATATGTGTACCCGACTTAGAAACATGGAAATGATAGTTGGTGATTGAAGAGCGTTTTGCCTGAGAATCGTATGCGGCTTGATGTACCACGAACATGATCAGAGGGCTTGGTTTATCATTTAAGAGGTCAAGGTGACGGCTAAGAAATAGTTTCGAGCTTAAAGAACCTGAAGAACACTCCTTTGTAAACAAATTTGGTTTTGCGAGAGACTTGCCATCATTTTTTTTGTCTTGAAATCGCACACAGGGAACGCTTGCTGTTGGTAGTTCAACAAAGAAGCAGCTTCGAAATTGGAGAGTCACCTTTTATCTTCTCGAGGATCACGTGCTGTGCTGCGGTTTGCACTGACTCAGGGATAAACAAAAAACATGACTGTCGACAACTGTTTACTACATATAATTTTGAACTGCACCGTCAAAATAATCGCGAAACGTATGAAACTATCAGATTAAGAAAGGTAGTTATCCCGAAACGGCGACATCTCAGGACTTCAAGAGATTTTAGCTGCGGCTCTACGAATCCAAAACAATAAAGAGTTTAAATAAACTCACTCTACCCCCTGAAAGGACGTGAAAAAAGAACTCACCCACATGCATTGATGCAGGAGTGCGAAGTTTCATATTTGGGCACAACAGGGTTTTTATCCGACACACGACTTCAAGGGGGCGCTGTTTCGACTGCATCTGAAGTTACCTCGTCATAAGTGAAATCCAAACTCGATTGTGAATCCATCGAGAGAAACCACAAAAGTCTAGGCATCGCGTCTCTGAAAATTTCAGAATGCAATCTTGAAAACTACACACTACATATGGAGAGCTTCGTGGAGTACTGACGCGTGAACCCGAATAACACCATCCTGAGCAATGGCCAGGATGCGTATAATTTAAAGCGATACACCGAGTTTCTTGAATAGCGGTCACCTGGTTCGGTCACCAGTTCCTTCTTTGTACTCCAAATCTGAGGTACCGAACGACACCGGTATAAATCAGTAAAATGATGGTCTCGATTGGACCACTCTGTAATTATTGACTTGTCTTTGATTTGTTTTCACGACCTGGAAAACGTTCGGGGAAATTGATGAAAAATTTTAGATGTCGATGCTGATGTACAAAGTTCTAGTGAGCAATTTGGGATNCAATTCTTCAGTGATGAGTAAAGATGCCTAGGGTTTGTATCATGCAACTGGATGATGAAGTGTAGGCGCATGCACGCAGAATTATTGATCCAATTAGAAGGGCAATCCAAAAAACCAGGTGAATTTGACAAACAACAATACAACAACAACACAACAATAAGAACAGAGTGCAAACAAACGGCGTCAAAATGTGAGGCTGATGGAGGTACACCGGGGTCACTCTGCCACAAATAAACCCTCAGGAATTTTCGCAGGTTTGCCGGCATTCATTCGACAGGCGTGCGCGGGGATGGTAGTGGAATGCACATAAAGATTGGCATAGCAAAAACAGTGAGATTCAAGTGAGCTGTTAGGAGACCAGTACTAATAACCAACTGGCTCAACTGAACCCAGCTGGATCACACATTTATGGTGTCCTTCTTAGAACTGAAGCGTTTTGCAAAGCCATCACGAGTTCCGGCTGACGGAATCTCGAGCACTGCGTTTAGCGGATGAGCTCCAAGAAGAGCTGTCGGGATGTTTTCAGCAACCTTATGAGCAATCTCCTCACAACAAAAAGTGCTCTGATATTTTGAAGACCGTATTCATTGAAACTTCGGGGGTCTTTCTGTGGCACACTGACTTGCAGTTCAACTGAAATTCAGGTGCGATCCCCATCAAATATAAGTTGTTCTCCAAATGAATATGTTTCGCAAATCTCGTGCATTTTGGATCTGTACAGAACAAAAACTAGGCGGCAGACTGGGAATGTTCTCACCTGATGAGGCTCAAGTAGGATAACATCGGTCGTGATCTGTTGAGGAGTTCTCAGCAACCCTTTGAGTAGTATGACCAGTCAATCAAAGTACCTGGTAAATTTCCATCCTGGTTGAACTTGTGCCGGAATATGCGTGTATGATACTCAAAGACCATTTGGGCTCGTCAGTTCCACAAGTGTTGGGTGGCATCGGTTAAAGTATCAACCTTTATCAGAAACGATGCCGCTGAGTGTACAAATCTACAGAAGTAATGTCTTGATTGCGGTCAGCATTCAAAGGAGATCGAAACGCATTTCTCATCCATTGATGCCGGGCTTGGGTTTACATCACGGTTGTCCTAACAGTGCTTTCGAAGTTGTGGCGCAATTAGTCTGTCAGGTTCATACCGGCACAAGAAGCACTGGACTCGAGCTATACTGTGTTGGAACTCATCAGCAGTGCATGTCCTCAATCGTACCGGGATTAGAACACCGGGCACCAGACATGCGAGGTGAGTGTGTTACCACTAGTCCATCAAGTTAAGGTGGATTTCGCTCCCCGAATCGCCTTTGGAATGCAAGCATAAACAGAGACGGATGAAGGATATATTGTATACGTAGTAGGTTTTAGAGGGTCGTGTTATGTGCGCTTCTGAAGGAAAAAAACGGTCTATAGACTCAGTGCTTTGCGAGAATCAAGTCAGTCTCTCTGGTGTCCCTAAACAAAGCTTCCTAACTTACTACAAGAAGTTAACTTTGATTTCTTTACCGAATTCATGGAAATCCGTGCATACAGAGGTTCATCTGCGTTTTTCGTGAGTACATAACTTTCTCTACGTGTGTTTGAATCATTGCTAGGGTCCGCATGGGGACTTCATGAGGGCATACCTTTGGTGGTGTCGCTCCTCGAATTCCAACAACATCTGATGTGCGGAGCGAGTGTGTCCCATGCTCCACGGGGCATATTGGGGCCGCTGAATTGCCACATCTGAACAGGCGAACGTACTCATGCCTGAATGACGTTACTGGTTTTTCCGAAGGATGACCCAGTAACTGCCACCGCTTCATCGATCGGTTGCTTCTCCTGTCAGGAGCTCCCGACCCGGTAGCATCACGGGAGCTTGAAGCCTGCTGTACAGTTTTCGATTGGTAAGTTAGATAGCGTCTTCTCAGCGGGGCTTATCTATGCTGAAGTGTCGAACAGCACTGTACAACTTTATTGGAAATCATTGGCAGTGTGCCCCTCACCAAATTCAGAGAACTTCAAACGCGCGAAGTTAGATACGTCTTCTCAGCGGGGCTTATCTATGCTGAAGTGTCGAACAGCACTGTACAACTTTATTGGAAATCATTGGCAGTGTGCCCCTCACCAAATTCAGAGAACTTCAAACGCGCGACCCTGTGACCGGTAGTTGAAACTCGATCACAAACGGTTGATAAGCGGTGTGGCTTTTCAGCGTAGACTAGCTCCAGTGACAGGACGAAACCCAGTCGGAAATTGCAATATCTTCTCGCACTGCAATCAATTTCGATTCGTTTTCGGAAGCTGCAGGATTTGTAGGATTCACATTCCCATCAATCTCCTTCGAACATTCCGACTCCTGTCCTGGCGGAAATATTCTGGGTTCCAGGTGATCGGACACAGGGCGCTCACTCCTTGTTGCTCTAAATCGCGAATGCCAATTTTGCAACGTATGTGGCGGTTAGGGGCATTCGTTTTTGGATGGATCCGTTTCTTCAGTGGTGCCTCGCTAATTCATTCTATGCTGATTGAGGTCAGTTTAGCCCCAGCCTTCGGAAGTTCACGCTACACCTACGGAAATTTGCATGTCCCTTCGACGCGGTTTTGAGGCTGTTTCGAGCAATCTATTTTGGGCAACACTCTGCCAATGAGCTCACCTATAAGTAGCTGAACACCTATGGTCCCCAAGCACTCGTCCGGGTCGCATACCGTTTATTTTAGCCTGAGTTTCAAGATCAAAACACAACCTGGATTTTCAAACGTTTTAGCTTCCGATGGCAAATAAGCGGCGATGCATTCATGTATAACTAGAGCCTATCACAGAAAGCGTGATTCGAGATGAATCAATTGAAGAGTGCCATTAGCCTGCTCGTGGCAAGCTTTGGCGATTTATCGCCTCAAAGAATGTGACGTAAAGCAGTTGGAGGTATTTTAGTAGCGACACTAGGTTGTACCTAAACCACAGTGATCCATCTAAAATGAACCACTGGAAAGGTCCCTCCACGGGGGAACAGGATAGGGGCAAGACCAATTCCTTGATTTGTTCTGCAATCAAAACGTTGTTTGTGTCAAATCTGTTAGAAGTGGATACAATTCATTTTCTTCCTAGCCGATGTAATTTTCACACAGTGGACCAAAGCATCGACCTACATGAAACTCAAGTTGCGCAAAATTTCACCATTGGAAACAGACTTGGAAAGGTGTATCGCGGTTTGTCCTTTATCGCTTCCTTTTTCTTTTGCCTGCATGATAGGTCAATCTCATATTCGTCAGTACTTATAGACCCACAGTCAAGATGAATTGGTGTCCTCTGATAAACCATTGCTCGCGAATTGGCTTGGTGTCAAACTCTTTCGATTGAGGGAGATAGTGGTTAAGAGCCATGTTTATTAAGCGATGTCCTTGGAGGTTTTTCGACTCAACCGAACGATCTTCATTGCGCACTTTCGGTACAGGAATCTCTTATTTTCCATGACGTGATTGACGATAGACTTTTGGATGATTCACATCGTTTAGTGAATTGAAATCTCACCGAGCGATAGAGCTCAGAATATTTGGACGTGCTTGTAGAGAGTAGAGAGAAAAACTGGACTAGCCAGCTTTGTGGTTAAGCTCTATGTACATTTTACGATCGCTGTAATATAAGCGAAACAGGAGACAATCACTGTGTGTAATGGTTTTACCTGTCTGGATCACTGGATAGTAACAGGAATGTGAACTGAAGGTAGGCAATACAGTTCATTTTGGTTTCGAAACATCTTTCAATAACGTTGGAATTTTCTTTTGTCTGAAAGAAGACAGTTCATATTTTGGGGATGTCGATGAAGGGCTTGAACAGAGGGGTTTTGGGTTACCCACGGGGACTGTTTTGGTGGATGATGAAGTGACTCGGTGAAAAAAATGAATCTTGGAGAAGATCTGGGTCGTTTATAGCGTCAAGTAACAGCTACTAGGAAAAATTGAATATACCGATCCGGCTTTTCACCCCCCCCCCGCGCCCAGATGTAACAGAAAAAAAGTTTGCGCAAAGTCGGATAAGGCCCGATTCACAAGCCCGTATGGCTGATATAGACTCACAGGCCTACTATCGGTTGGCGGAGGGTTGTGATCAGCGTCACAATGGACATCAGCACCGCACCAATCAACGCCGTGTTGGTGCATGTTCTCCGCAGAACACCGTACGAACATGTTAGTCGGTGTCCCGCCGAAACTCCCCGATTCGTCTGCAGTTGACAAACACGCTACGTTTCAGAGCAAGCTTACCTCAAATCGCCCATCAGCTTCTCTGACGACACAGCATTGTAAAAGTCAGTATCGTGCCCGTTCGGTTTACCTATTCATTTACGCTCCGGTGTGTAGAAAATCCGTAATTTTCTCTGACGTTATTGCATTAACGGTAGTTTTGGTGAGCAGACTAAATTAGGGCAGGGCATGATTCCGTAGACCGGTCCATCCCAGGTTTCTCTTTCTTATACTTGTCCGCATCCTACACCCCAAGCTAAGTTTTACTGGACATGTATTTGGAACCCCGAATCCCATCAAATATCCCATTGTTGCAAACATTTCCGTCCTACGGGAACAGGTTCAAAGGCTCAATATGATGTGAGTCCACGACAAACGTACTCATTGCTACAATGGTTATTGTAGGATGAAAATACCAGTATAACCAATAAATTTCGACCAATCGTGAGATAAGGCACAATTTTCCAGAGCGTGCCAAGATCACAGAACTAGTTCCAGCAAATAACTGATAAGTGGGGAACGTACTGAGTGACGCAGGTAGAGGTTTTTCCAATCAACTTGGTTGAACTTCAATGGGCGTGAATTAATTGGAACCAATGAAACGGGATAATTGTGGGTGCCGTGACACCTGCCAGTTTGAATTGCATTGAAAGGCTTGTCTGTTCATGGGAAAAGCACACACTTGTTGGCTTGAAGCGAGGTCAAATAGGCACGCTTAATTTGAAGTTCATTGACCTTACCGTTCGAAATACGATTCCGTTGATCAGTACATCCCAGTTTTCTTGTCTTTGCACTTACTCGCATCCTACAAACTAAGATCGCTGGGCGCCTAACTCATGGGGCGTAAAACCAAATTTAGCCATTGGCATCCTCAAAACTGAAAGCTGTGTTACCTTCTTGTACATGCCGATGAGGAACGGGAGCCTCAGCTGGTGGTTGGTAAGTAGATGGCTGAGCATGCTCGGTTCGAACGACTGCTCACGAATGACTGGCTAAGTGCATGCGACCTTGAGAATTTGGCATTCATTTAGGGCACCACAACTCTTCAACATATGAATCAGCTGAGGCAACTATTTAACCAAGCTTATTTTTTCGATACATCAATTATTGTGTTTTACACGATCGGAAACAAAGATTCACATGCTTTGCTTCAAACCACATTTGTTAGACAACTTGCTACAAAACGACCTCAACTGAAAGCGATGGGAACGATGGGAAATCACACAGCCGTCTGCATTGAGAGTACACCTGAAAGTGCAAACTCCATAAGGTTACAAGGTGTACGAGGGCTAGAAATGGCTACCATTGGAGTTAACAAAAGTAAAGGAGCAAAGAAAATTCAAAGTAATATACCCCCACTCTGTCACAAAGAGGCTGGACTTTACCGTGTGGTGACTGTTTGTGTATGTCCGATATCCACTGAGTTATACTAGGAGGTAACATAGAGTCCCTTATGTTTGGTTAGTCATTGGTTAGGAGTCTGACGAACATAGTCTTCTAGCCCTTCGGAGTGGGGGGTTGGGACGTTGAAATGCAATTGCATTTCTCGCCGAACACCACTGTTTCGCGGTCAGGCTTTGGTTGAAGACCCCAATCGTCCTTCCGTCTAGGTGCGGGCGGCCTGGCAGTATTCCAGACTACTTACAACCATGAATTTTACGGCAACGAAGCATCAATGTTAAACAATGATGCTATGTCAATATTTGTCCGAATGGAGAGTGCAACCTATTGGTGTGCGTGCAGGTGTTCAGAAACCTAGATAGCTTCTTGACGAATGCGGTCCGTCAGCTGTAGTGCGGACAAGTGAATGGTGGGGTGGGTGTGTGGTCTACATTAGACCTGGGGGGACGAGCAAGGCAAGTACGCAAAAGCTTCACGTAGTAAGCTATTTTTCCACATGATCCCTCGTGAAACAGTGCCTTTAAAGCACTCTGTCACCCTGTCAAACAATCAACATGAAGCAAAGCGGGAGAATGCAGATGATCCCCAGTTTGACATTTCGCTACCAATTTTAGAAGATTGTATAGCTTTCTACGTTTTCGGGGGTCAGGTGCCTCTCTAAAAATTACATTTGTAATACGGCATATAGGTAAACTGCTAACTTATCCTTGATTGTGATCAGCGTAGTTTCAGTGCATACAGAATAACCGTACATATGATGACCCTGCCAACCCCAGTGCGGAATAGTCACACTTGTTCCACAGGTATGTGGTTATTACATTTCATAAACGTCTAGAGTCAAAACGCAGTGCATTCCTTTATTTATCGTACTTTCGTTGGGTGGAGGGGGTGAAGTCCTTTGGACAAATAGGAGTGAGGAGAAGAGTAGAATGACCACTTTTGCATCAACAAACCTAAAGTTGCAGGACATATGCATACGAACAAAACGGAAAGACCAACTACACATATATATGGAAATTATGGTATATGCCCACATAGTGTTTCGGCCATGGGTCCGAGATTGTTTGCTGTCTTACTACTCTTAGGACAACTTTGGAACCCTGGTGAGTTCATCTATCCGGCTGGACCATCTATCTACATGCAATGAACCTATGATGAATGATCAACTGTAATTTATACACAAATGTCATGTCAGACTGAAGGTTGTACACGCGGATGCATGCCAGTAATATAGGGTTAGATTAATACACCAATTCGCCGTATATTTCACGGTTGGAGGGAGCCAAAGGAATTTGTGAGATGTTCTCCCACCAGACAGATGAAATTGTGAATGAGCGATAAACGACAGTGGATGTCATTACAACTTGTGAAAAAAATCTGTAAACTTTACTTACCTGAATTGAGTAGTAACACCCACAACAAGTGTCGTGACCAACAGAGATGAATTGGCCAATTCGACGGCCAGTAAACGTAGCATATGATAGAAGTGGTTTCGAAATGCTGGTGGGGCCTGCATGTATACTATCGTGCACATTTGTGCGTTCAGTGAGATTGACTTCACAGAAATCACTCTGAAATGCCACATTACAAGAGCATCTCTTTGGTGTATTGATTCGCGGTTTCGATTTACTACGCGGACTGCTGTGTTCGATCACTCACTCAGCCTCGTGTTCGAATCACAGGGTCTACAGCCTTCGCATTGATTGTTGGTATCCTAGTGCTCCCGCTGGCCGTGCGCTTGCAGTTCCGTTCCGTAAGCAGGCCCTTTGAACAAGCAAACATTTAAACGTGATAAATATGCGAACAGTTCCAACCGCCTCATTGGTTGAAACATAAAGGACAGGCAATTAAGCCTCACGGCTTAAAAAGCACTCCAGTGGTTTTATTTTAATTATATACACGTATATAAGAGGACAGCGTTTTCAGGTAGACTTCTGCTACTCTCATTTCTATAGCCCACGTGCGATACTCGGCCACTTTATTCAGACTTATTCATCACACACCGGCTGTTTGCCAGACCGCATTCACATACTTGGCGGAATCAATACTGCAAGTAACATCTTGGATTTAAACTTAATCGGATTTGACAGAAACATCTGCCAACCCACTAGTTTTACGATTCCGTACTATGATGACAGCGGTAGGGACAAAAAGTCGTGTTTATACCCCCCAAGGGGCGTTTCGCGTCAAAAAATTACACAGTTTGAACTCTGAACCAGTTACTTAGCACATACCTCACCGTGATCGATTTTTATCGGTGCTCGAAGTCTGGACACTCATGCGATGAAAGAATAGGCCAAATGTGAAGAGATTTTTAGTGGAGAGAGTTTGGGAACTACAGTCGACCAGCTGGGGAATGCCAGGCCAGGTCAGCAAACACAAATTTCCATCCCATAGTTTCAGGGCGAACCCACTACCTGACCGGTGGAGACTACAGGTACTAATCCATCCATCGTCTACTGGAAAAGTGAGCGGTGTTCACGTAGTTAGGGTTTTCTAGAGTCTTTTAACCTTGAGTAGCAGTGGATATCAGGTGAAGGTAATCGAAAACCTTCCAGAATGTTGCCAAAACAACTGGTCTCATAACCCAAGTCTATCAATCCCCGCTTCCAGTTTCCTTCCGTTCGTAATCGTTTACCTGTGATCAGCAAGGAAAAAATTGACTTCATCGGAACTACGAATTCGGTTGGAAAGTGTACTGTCCTCCTTTTCGAGAAAGATCATACACGACAAGGATCTTTCCAGAATTTTCGCATTCACTAATCAACAGCTCAGTCGCTTGAAGAATATTTCCAAGGGATATATTCTTGACTTGGTTCCCCATAATTGCGGAAGCACAGAAGATGACGTCAGATCAATTCTCCAAAGACGAGTGTAGCTCGAATGATGTGCCTGACACGTATTCAATTCTTTTTGATGTCATTACAACAATGGCTGTCACTCACACTTGTCCAAGCGGAAAAAAGCCAACAAGAAATGTCCAAAATAAATCGTATAACTGTTGACAAACTTTATTCGTGAAGGGCCATTTTATTGATCCCCTATAAATTATTTTACGTTCATCTGCTCCCACTACAGCGGACTCAAGTAAGTGCCCATTCCATAAAATGTCATGTCTTGAAAAAAAGACTGCTTTGTGGTTGTAAGTTTGTGATTATCTCAGACGCGTGCACAAGTTTGTCCTTGGTTCACCTTATGCGTTCGGTGCAGGGATGCAGCTTTCGTCTCTTCGGCGAGATTGAATTCACGGAATTCAGTTTGAAATACCACGAAATACCAAGAACGCATTGGAGGTTTCGATTTACCACGCGGACTGCTGTGTTCGATAACTCACTCAACCTCGTGTTCGAATCATGTGGTCAACAGCCTTCGCATTGATTGATTGCTGCCGCTGGGTGTGCGCTTGCGTTTCCGTTCCGTAATCAAGCCCTAGTGCTGCATTTAAACGCCACAGATATGCGAACAGTTCCAACTACCGCATCGGTTGAAACATAAAGGACAAGGCAGTTGAGCACCACAGCTTAAAAAGCTCTCCAGTGGTTTTATTCCAATTATATGCACGTATAAAAGAGGACTGCTTTTTTGGGTAGACTTCTGTTACTGTCATTTCTATAGCCTACGTGCGATAGTCGGTCACTTTATTCAGAATTACTCATCACACACCGGCTGTTTGCCAGACCGCATTCACATACTTGGCGGAATCGATACTGCAAGTAGCATCTTGGCTTTAAACTTAATCGGATTTGACAGGAACATTTGCCAACCCACTAGTTTCACAATTCCATACTATGATGAAAGCGGGACGGGCAAACTGTCGTGTTCATACCCCCCACGGGGCGTTTTAACTCCGAACCAGTTACCTAGCGCCAAATGTCGAAATCACATACCTCACCGTGATCGATTTTTATCGGTGCTCGAAGTCTGGACACTCATGCGATGAAAGAATAGGCCAAATGTGAAAAATCTTCACTTCGGTATATGCCTGGAGAGTTTGAGTTTGAGTACTGCAATCGACCAGCTGGGGATCATCTGTATGACAGCGATAGGAATGTCAGGCCAGGTCAGCAAACACAAATTTCCATCCCATAGTTTCAGGGCGAAACCACTACCTGACCGGTGGAGACTACAGGTACTAATCCATCCATCGTCTACTGGAAAAGTGAGCGGTGTTCACGTAGTTAGGGTTTTCTAGAGTCTTTTAACCTTGAGTAGCAGTGGATATCAGGTGAAGGTAACCGAATACCTTAAAGAATGTTGCCAAAGCAACTGGTCTCATAACCCAAGTCTATCAATCCCCGCTTCCAGTTTCCTTCCGTTCGTAATCGTTTACCTGTGATCAGCAAGGAAAAAATTGACTTCATCGGAACTACGAATTCGGTTGGAAAGTGTACTGTCCTCCTTTTCGAGAAAGATCATACACGACAAGGATCTTTCCAGAATTTCCGCATTCACTAATCAACAGCTCAGTCGCTTGAAGAATATTTCCAAATGATATATTCTCGACCTGGTTCACCATAATTGTGGTAGCATGGAAGATGACGTCAGATCAATTCTCCAAAGACGAGTGTAGCTCGAATGATGTGCCTGACACGTATTCAATTCTTTTTGATGTCATTACAACAATGGCTGTCACTCACACTTGTCCAAGCGGAAAAAAGCCAACAAGAAATGTCCAAAATAAATCGTATAACTGTTGACAAACTTTATTCGTGAAGGGCCATTTTATTGATCCCCTATAAATTATTTTACGTTCATCTGCTCCCACTACAGCGGACTCAAGTAAGTGCCCATTCCATAAAATGTCATGTCTTGAAAAAAAGACTGCTTTGTGGTTGTAAGTTTGTGATTATCTCAGACGCGTGCACAAGTTTGTCCTTGGTCATCCAGGTAACGTCAGTTGGTTTCAGTGTGTTCCTAATAAAACGATATTTAAGCCATTCAATGAGCAGGGCTCATTCGAGTACGGGAATTAGTTTGCTGTGTTTTATGTATGTCCAGCTTCCGTCCATAACAAAATTCGGTGTTCCTCCAAACTTTCGTTGGCGAAGTAGGGAAGGCCATGGCGTGACAAGGCGAATTGAAATTGACTGCTCTCAGTTCGCGCCCCATATTATCTTCGCACCTTTCTGGATAAGGTCCACGTGATTTCCTTTTCGCTTGATTGTACATCTTACCGGACACTCCAAGTAGCTTGCTGGCGCTGTCCAGAACGACTAACTGGTGAAAGATCGTCTGTCTCCCTTTTGTGGACTTGTAATGAGTGAGGTTTTGCAAAGAAGGCTGGGTCGGTCCAGCTTCTGGTGACACGCTCCAGCATGCTGTTCAGAGGCTGTGAAAGATGCTGTCAGCCGTGTTATTTAGGGACCTTAAGTAATTCACAGCAAACCTCAGTGGTCGCGGTTCTTTTTACTTATATCCCGGGACCATCTTCCATACCGGTATGTAACCTAGTCACCAGTTTCCACTTCCGACTGTTCGGTATCCTTAAGGGTGATGGAACTGATGGTGAACTGATGGACTTTTATTTGATTTTCTATGGGAACCAAAACCAAAATTTCTGGAAAACATGCTGTTCGTCTTGTTCACATGCCTGTCAAATGCTGCTCTCTCCAGTATCACGGAGATGCTTCAGTGACTGAAGTCACTCAAAACTCCTTTGCCCCCTGAGGTCATCTGAACCGGCTGAATTTAAATTTTCCTCCACTGCAAAATGTCATCCGCTCAGTTCGGTCTCTTGCTCAAAACCAGAACCTTCACCTTTGAATATTTCATGAGGTTTCAACTTCGAGGCACTCGTTATCAGGTGTGACGGTGCTTCCCTAGACGAGCTACTTTTGATTCCCCTTGGTGCTGTCATACAGCGCTCCAAAGAATCGGCAAGTGGGGTATCCGATTCTGTCTTTTACAACTTCATTCTAGCTGCAACCCATTTGCCACCCGTTTCCAAGCTTTTGAAGGACAATAGTTGGTCTTTGTCAAGCCCCAACTGCGATGAATCACACGCCATTTTGTGTTTGAATGAAGCGAACGGATAGTGAACATCGCTCATGGTTCGTAACGTGACGTGGCACCAGGAATCGTAATTCAACGGTTGGGCCATACTCCCCCCTCCAAATCACTCATGAAAACGTTCCGCATCTTTAAAAACGCCTCAGCTTCAGTGTTCCAAATACGAACTGTTCTAATTTAAAATGATTTTCGGTGTCTTCAGACATACAAAATTTCGGTAAATTAGTTTTGAGGCTTGCATAACTTCTCCGCAAACTCAAAATATTCCTGATCACAACACGCGCGACTTTTCTGCCTTTGAGTGGCTTGCCTGCCTTCTGCAACATACAGCGATGTCGTGCTCAGCTCTCTGAAAGGCGTCTTGATACAATTTGGCCGACTCTATTTGTACCAGCTCTTTGGACGATGACCATTATCATTTTTCTAATAATCTAGACATTTTTCAATCTGATGTGTTGTTCACTATTTAAGTGAACTACAGCAGAGTCTGCTAAATGTTGGCGGGCGTTTGACGGGGGGAACCGCCAGAGAGCATAAATTTATGGAAGCATTGCTTTGCATCGAGGACGTAGCCAACGAACGTATCAAAGTTGAACCAATGTGGTAACCGTATAACTACACACCTCAAAGCTCAAGAAGTCAGACGAGGCATTCATAGCGACAGCGGGAACTCCTTAGTTCAGTGAAGTTACAAAAGCGAGGGCATTTTGCTAATCGGTGAGACACAACAAATACCAGCAATCAAAAACGGAAAAACAATCAATCAATCAGTCGAGAAAGGAAACAAAACTACTGAAAATAGGTGGCATAATAGTTGGTCAAATTAAAGAAGGGTAGACTGTGAATCAGAACAAGTCATGAAAGGACCGATGAACTCGCAAGACAGGTGTCTCTCAGATCGAAGTAAACGAATGCTCATCATAAGCTACGCAACCCAGCACAGACAAGAATGAGCTACCCGATCACCAGACAAAAGCGCCTTGTCTGATGGTGATCAGTTCCCAGGCTCGGCGGACAAACCACCAGCCCCCTCCTCAACAACCAATGAGGTTCGCAGTCGAAGTTACTCGCCCCGAAAAACGCTTTCCTACCGGTGTCCGTGATACTGGAGGCCGGTGAACCACGTTTGAATTGGTTTATTCTGACCAAGCGTCCTAAACTATTCAAGGCAAGGAAGTCGCGAACAACGGTTCGTTGGTGACTCACTATCTGCAGCGCGGTAGGGCTACTTGTGATAAACAATACGGCAATGTCTTGTTCACTTTTCCTTCTAGCGAACACGTGTGGTTGTGGGATTTTCGGATTCATTCTACAACTCCAAGATAGCTCAGATTTTTCAGTGCAAGTTCTGAGGCTAACTGAGTGCTGTGCATGATCTCGTCAAATGCTTCCACCGATCTTGGAATTTCGCAAAGGTTTCCAAAATATGAAATTTGGTAGGCTAGTTTCTGAAGTGCATTTCATAACTATTGCATGAAGCAGGTTTATCATGTTTTCAAGTACACTTATCACTACGAAGAAATCACAGAGGTCACCCCTCTTCTGCCATTTCATACTCGCAGGCATCTTGGATTCATGGAAGAAGATCGATATAAATTGTAAGTGACGCATCTTTCTATATTTTTGTTGTGGACAACAGTCCCTTAATAGCTTCTCTCATTACCGTGAACCCCGGTCTGGATAGCCGCTTGATTGCCTGGTGCGCTTGGCCAAATCAGAAAAGTCAATGAACGTGCGAGCCACCTGCTCTATTGATCACTGTCCCTGTAAGGCTAAGCTGTTCGATGTAGGAAAGGCCCCTAGATGTGTTCAGTAACCATAAGGGGAGTGTCGAAAGCGGCCACTGGCGGAGTAACAAGAACACATTTTCAGAAGCCCCAAGTTTGTGCTCAAAAACGTTTTTGACAGATATTGGATGCCACGTGACTCATCGCGTATCTCTGTTCTACGTGACAGACGAACCCTGTTTGGCTGACCTACTTTCGGTCTATTTTGCCCACTCCTTAAACGAGGCATAACTTTCTCTAAATGCGTGTTGTTGTTAGTGAGAATACCTGAACACATGGAATAAACGATGGTTGGTCTCACGGTGAACTGAGTTCTGCTCTTCTTTTCTGCGTTCTCAAAGTCCAATCAAGATTAAATCTGGACGACTTTTCAAATTAAACACACATCTGTACCATCATCTGACTATAATTTTTCATTGAAAATATTTCAGTTCGGCAGTACACTTGTCTTTGGACACAACAAAGATTCTACCTCAAGGGTAAGTGAGATGATGTTGGTTGAACTAGTCTATTGATTTTCATTGTGAACGCTTGTCACAATCCGCTGTGGGTCACTCATCCACAAACCAGACATGTGTTGATAGATATTGTTGACAGATATTGATCTCTGTGCCGGGTCTGACAATTTGCTTTCCACCGCTTTGTCACCCATCTTCCATTGCACCCAGCAGCCCACTGTTGATGACCCCACAAATGGGGACGAATGCGCTGTAAGTTAAGCGAACAGACCAACGGGCACCCGAGCTACCAGTAACTTTACGTGCGCTGAAACAATGCCGTTTTGTGAGGTGGGAATCCTAAACAGTGCATAGCTGTTCAGTGCGCTGTTCAAAAGGAAATCGATGGCTGAGATACTGCCAGCTGGTCCAAGCCC